TACTAAGAGAAATATAAAAACAAATAGATTTTCACATAAAGATATGACATCCACATAGTCTTTCAAGATTATGCTTAAATTTATAATATCATCCGTAAAACTTATTGGGTTCATTCCCCAATCATTACAAATCTATAGAAACTCATCATAGTTGTCATTTTGAAAGAACAAAAAAAAAAGATAATAAAAATAAGAGTTGAAATGTCATGAAAGTGTTGTGTAGTTAGCACCAGTGTACTTCCAACTCAAATAATGAAGATGCTAGAAGCATAGCGAGTGCAACACATATACTTTTGCTTCAACGGAACGAGTTGCGAGGGACCAAAATCCAACCCAATCAACAAGATCGCGAAGCATGTCCTTTTTTTTCATTTAACAAATAAAAAACAATAACTAATCCTTACAAATACAAGAATCACATAAGTGGGTGTCCTTAAGCTTACTAATCCTTACAAATACAAGAATCGCATAGCGAGTGCAACACACATACTTTTTCTTCAAGGGAACGAGTTGAGAGGGACCAAAATCATACCCAATCAACCAAATAGCAAAGCATGTTCTTTTTCATTGAACAAATAAAAACAATAGTCAATCTTTACAAGTAAAAGAATCGCACAAGTGATTGTCCTTAAGCTTACTAGACCAACTTCATAAAAAGAGTCAGCAAGTCTGAAGAGCAAAAGTGAATTTTTGTATGAGCAGATTAACACCACCCATTTCACACAATGAAAAAGAAGGGGGTTGCCTGAAATTCTACTCAAAAAACAAAATAAATAGATAGAAAAGATTTAACATTTAAAAAGACACCACGAACAACACAACTAATGGAGCAAAAAGGAAAAACCTTTTAAATCCTAACTGTATAAAGGCTCAGATAGATGCTTTATGTGCTCACAGAAGAGCAAACTGCGCTTCTCATACAAGAGGTGTCAGAAATAAAGCAACAATCATCCTTAACCCAAAATAACCAAAATAACAAAACCAAATACAGTTTTACTGAGCAAAACTAATAATGTGTGGCCTCATTGAGAAGATTAGACTTTCAACAAATAAAATTTCAGACATATGCTTGTCTTTACTAAAAGGTTTAATCATTGGCCAAAAATAACTTAAAAAATAAAGGTAAGAAGTATAATAAAAACATAAACGCAACTGTTTGCAAATACAACTTAACAAATATGGATCCACTTAAATCCAAAGGGACTCAGTTTATGGGTGGTGATATATCAGTATGGTCGGCAAGGTATCAAAAGACACCTTTACGACGAACGAGACCAATATTATGTTCATCATTATCCCAAAATAAAAGAAAATTTGAAGAGTGAATACGAATAAAAAAATAACAGAGGAATCATCAGATAGGAGCGAAAGACTAAGAGTTTTATAATCAAATTTAGATCATTTGAACTATGCTTTTGATCATCACATGATCCTCTTCTTTTCCATTGAGATAGAGTGGAGTCAACTCTTCTACAAAAACTTTCATACTATAAAAATAACAAAAACATCACAAATTTCGTGTGATGCACCCATGAATCAACCTAAAAGGCTATCTGCTAAGATCCACAGCTGAATCAAACTAAAAGGGCCAAACGGTAATTGAATCAACCTAAAAGGGTAATTCGTGGCAACAGTTTATCTATCTCCATATAAAGTTATAAACAAACAGCTAAATAAAAAAAAAAAATAGTTGTGTTGTGCAAACATACCTAGTTTGAATGGATGCGCAACGAACGAAGCTGCAATGCAGNAGAAAAGGGATTTGCTCAGATTCTATGGGTGTTGAACAAAGTCTGTCATGCCACTAGCATTCAGAACGAGGAATTATATTTCTAATCATCGCAAACCATTCCAACTGTCAAAAATTAGATATATTCAACTAGAAGAAACTATGTATGAAAATAAAAATTTTGAACTAAAAATGAAAATTGTGAATGTAAAAAATAATGAAAAAACAGGGGATTGCTCAGATTCTATGGGTGTTAACACAGAGTCTGTCATGCTATTAGCATTCAGAACGAGGAATTTTACTTCTAATCATCGCAATAAATCCCCATCGGCCATTGCTCGTGAATAAAAAACAAATAAAATAAAGAAAACAAAAAATAAATGTAAAAATTAAACCAAAAATGAAGAGAAAAAATTTGTAGGATCCTCAGACACGCATAAACAAGTCATCACAAGTAAATACAAAGGTCCATCTCTCAGCATCGAGAAATGTAATGATGTGTCTTCATCGTAGCTTGAAAATAGAATCAAGAAGTAAGAAACTTAAATCATGAAGGAATAAGAAATATATCATTCCAGCAAAGTTTCTTGCAGGATTCTTGAACGAGTTAAAACGATAACGCGTTGCGAGAATTTATCGTCAAAAGATTAGGGTTAGGGTTTGCGCCTCTGGTCCCTCTTTTATATGAGCCATGAAGCTCCTGGGCCGACTGATGTTTTGAGCCCAGTTTATTAGGGAATGTATGTTGTAAAGTATTATAGCCCATTTCATTATGAAGTTTATCATCATCAAATTATTTTGGTTGGATATGATGGAAATAGGTATCATGCTCTTTGACATTAGTGCATATTTCGTGTGACGCACGATAAAGTAATATTAAAGTTATTTTTAAAAGTTAAATATTGGACTAAACGAACATATCATTGAATAAATTTAATACTCATTTTAAGTTTACCTTGTACGTATCCTTTCAAAAAGTATAAAAACTTGATTAAATTTATGAATACTTGTATCATATTCACCTGCTTAATACTAATATTAAGCAGGTGAAGGCAAATTGCTAGTGGAGAGAAAGATGAAATAAGTGCGATTCTGATTTTGCGCCCTACGATTTTCTCTTGTTTTTTTTTTATTATTTTTTGCCTATAAAAATAAGAATTGCCCAAATAGCGTGAGCAATTTAGGCAATTGCTTAAATAGCGCAGAATATAGCGTAAATTGCGTGCGCTTTTCAAGAATTGCGCGAAATTATATATGCAACATCGCGTTTTTGAGTAAAAATGCGCTATATTGCGCAAAATTTCACTATTTAAAATTTTTTCTATTTATGTAATAAAACCGATATTTAATACTTTCATGGTGATTACTTATTTTTTTAAATAAAAGCCGTTTTTTATTATTTTTAGAGTTGGTATACATTTAATCAAGTTTTAGCTTTTATTGAAAAAAGAACAAAAATATTATGACAAATGGAAAGAATTTGTGATATTTGAAACTAAATTATAGTTTTTAATTTAATAATTGAACCAACATCTATCATTATATTAAAAGATTAACCATTTAACACTTTTAGTAAGTTTTTCCCGCCAAATACATTTAATGTCTCCTAAAAATAGAACAACATTAAATGTTGCCCTTAAATCATGGCAGTTGTTAATTTAGTTTGGAGAAAATCGTGGCAACTAAAACAAACAACATTAATTACGGCTGATTTAATATTTAAATGGTAAACAAATATTACTTTTTTACGTCTGTTTAAAAGTAAAAAACTACTTTTGTAATTTCAACAAATTTGTACTCTTTAATGTACGGCTGATTTAAAATTAAGAATTTACTTTTGTATTTTCACAAAAAATCGTATAAAGAAGTATGGCTGGAATAATAATAAAAAATTAATTTGTTAAACCATATTTTGCACTCATAGATACGAATTCTCATCAAATTCAAGATTTAAAATTGTGAAGAATGTATATAGATGTGGACTGATTGAAGATATATGATTCCTTAAATTAAGAAATTTTTTCGGGTAAAAAAAAATATAAACTTTAAATATAGATTTTATTAGTAGTGTATACCAAAGAATATTGTTACATTTAAAATTCCTATGAAGAATAATTCTATTAATTTTCAAATTCAACATCTCATAAAAATAATATAATATACTTTTACATTCTATGAAACAATATTTAAAACCCATCGTTCAACATGCATAAAATGTAAAATTACCTAACATGAATTATTTTAACTTTCTAAAATCAGTACACAATTTGTTCGGTATGTACTAATAGTCTAATAGTTAAGAGTTAATATTTGCTATGACATTTATTGGTTGGAAAGAATTCCATTTTGTATGGAATTCGAAATGAAAAAACATATTCTGAAAATCAAATCTGGTTTAGAGATCGATTTCTTAATAGCCTTAAATTATGCAAATATATTGTTTCAGTTTTTAGGATTCTTTTTTATGATCTCAGTCTTTGCATTATATGAAATCTATACTTATATAAAAAGTCATCCTATTTACTAGAAATAGTAGGCAGAAAAGTCAAATGTAATTAATGTTTGCTGGAAATAGAATGATATTAATTACAGATTTGTTTTGGTATTTATATAGGCTTGACATTGAAGATTTGTTATGTGATAAAAATCAAAACCGATTTTTTTACCTTTGCTGGAAAAGTCAAAGGTAAGTATAGATTTGTTTTATCCCATAGCATCGGTTTAGTTAAGAAAATCCCATCAAATCAGTTTTATATGTCAAGCCTATGAATAAAGATTTAATCGGTCAAAATTAAATCCTTATTTTACGTCACCCATAATAAAGTAGATGTCAAACCTAAATTGAAGGGTTTAGTTGTCTATATAGTCATTGATTTACGTAAATACATCTAATGTTTAAAGTTTGTGTAAATTGAAAATTCCTTCTTATTTTTTTACAAAAAATCTTATTATTATTGTATGGAAAATCAAACTCATAATGTTGTGTACAAGGTGGTCTTTAATAATATATGATTATTTGTTTGTCGAATACTATCTTATTGTATAATTTTCCTGCGTATTATAAAACTTTTATTGAATATTACATCTTATAATATAGTATTCCTCAAATAAATATATCCCGTGCCTCGCACGGGTCACGTACTATATATATCCCGTACATTTTTCTGTATTCATGTATATAATTATAAGTCTGGATATAGCCTTAAAATTGTGCACCCTGTGCATCGCACGGGCTCTGTACTAGTTTCCGATCAAGACACTTCAATTTCATCCACATCTACAGATAATTTTGCAAGCCATATTAATTGTTAAAATCAGTACATGGCCAAAAACTAATTACACAAGAAACATGTCTCACCTTTCTTCAAGTTCAGGTAACATTAATAAATAAAAAGTTTCAAACATTCATTTAAATACTCCTACAACAGCAAGCAAGCAAAGGATAAAAAAAAAAAGAAAAAGAAACAAAAAAAAAAACATCTCAAACACGCTTACAATTTTAACTCAAACACGCTTTACTCTCACTCCACTGTCTTCAAATCCTTCTACAGAGAACGAAAAGTAGCAGCCGAGCTAAGAATTGCCGACCCAAACGCATCATTACTGGGCCCACCACTCTTCGGGCTGCTCCCGGAGCCCGAACTACTGTTCGATAAAGAAACAAACTGCAAAACACCCGTAGGTGATGACCCCACCTGTGATCTCAGAGCCTCCCCTAACGGGCCCCCAACCCATGCAACGGGCTTGTTGTCCGGCCCATCAAGATTGGGCCCAATTCCCAGGCCCATGTGGACGGGCGGCTTCACCTGAACATCGGAAATGGGGATGGACATGGACAGTTGGGTCCAGTCGGGTTTGAGCTGGTCGGGCCAGGTGTCCTCAAAATGGTGGACGGGGGAGATTCTTCCGGAAGGATTGAGGAGGGAATCTGACGAGACAAGCCCAAATTCCGAGTTTGATGGCTCTTGGAATGAAACGTGGTTTTGCTTTTGAATGGGGAATGGTGTGGCTTCGGGCTTCAAGGTTGTTGTCGTGACAGGTATCAAGGAGAGTCCTTGAAATTCTTGTGACCTTCCATTGAAAACGATATTGCTATCAATATTTACAATGAGAAAAAAACCTACTAACCTTACATAGTCGAGCCATTATTCACAAGGCAATGAACTATTTTATCGAATAAAACTGAAATGCAGGTGGGTTATGAACGTAGAACATATAATTTGGTTTCCAACATGATATGATAAGTACAATCAACATTAATAGCTAATAAGTTTAGATTTTCTCACCGAACATCTACTACTCCCTCGTAGCTAATAAGCTTAGATATTCGATTCGGATTCGTTAAAATATTCGACGATTCGAATTCGTATTCGATTTGTAAACGAACTCATTTTTTGATTCGTATTCGATTTGTCGATTCGAAATTCGTTTTCAGAAAAATATTATAACTAAAGAAAAAAGATTATAGTTACAGAAATATTGTTTATGTTTTTCCTTATCTAATTTGAGATGTTTCTAGGGCAAATTGTTAATTTGGGATGTTTTTACTTTTTATGTTATAAAAATTTTAGGAATATAACAATATATATAGTATAAACAAAATATATATATACTATACGTAATTTACGAAATTTATATAATTATCGTTACGTTAATAAAAATCGAATATTCGATTTTTCGAATCGAATATCTACAAATTCAAATTCGGACTCGTTTAACCTTGAAATATAAAACATTATTCGTATTCAAATTCGAATCACGAATATCGAATCGAATCAAAGACATTCGCTTTGTATACAAGCCTACTCCCTCGTCAAGAATACACATTAATGGAGGTGTTTGTATGCCGACGTTCGCACGTCGGTTGATAAAGGGTAAATCGCGCATAAAACTACTAAAGGAACTCATTGGACATAAAAGGTGGGTTGTTGGTAAAAACATTTACTCTTTAATTAGCCTTAAAAACATCGAACTTTTGGCGAGCCGAAACGGCAATTCTAGCAAGCTGGAAGTTAATACCAGAAGGGGCCCGTTTCAAAATTAGGTATCAAAACTCGCATAAAATAAAAAAAATTATGCAAACCTGCCAACAAAAAATATGCATATTTTGGCCTACACCTACATATTCGAGTCCATTCACAAGCCAATGGTATCCAACATAACCAAAGTATGCATTGAAAAACTGCAAACCTGAAATAGTGAGTGAAAGCAGTAGTAGCAGAGTTTGGCTGTTGCTGGACCAAGCTAAGAGCGGCGGCAGATGCCGGCGAGGGCTGGCGGCCGACTGGCGGCGCCACCACCTTAGAGGCGGCGGTTGGTCTAGAGAGAGTGTGGCCATTTTGGCCTTCCACAGGCTTTCTTGAACGATGGCGGCCTCGATTGATGTGCCTCTCGCAGTATTTCTGGTCAGCGACGGCATCTCTCGAGCACCGCCATTTCTTGCCATCTGTCCTCCTACACCGTCCCGGCTCTGGGTCGTTGCTCCCGGAGATGCCTAGATGGAATGGTGGGCCCCACCCCACTTTTCTCAAACACACACACACGAAACAAAACATGTTGAGGAATTGGAAAAACTGATTATATGCTCCTAAATCAAGAAATTTCATTTCTTTCCTTGACATCTCTTCTACAAATTGGTGAATCTTTTTCTTAACAATCCAATATTTGTTATTATCTCTTCGACATAAAATTAAAATGACAAATAAATCAAGTAATTATTATCTCTTCAGAGTCCCCACAACTGCTAACAACATGAGCACCAAGTCAAAAAGTTGCAATTTTTTGCATAATGAAAAACAAATGTCAGAGGGTAAGAAGAATGAAAAAGCTTACATAAATTGGGGTAGTAAGAAGAACCGGGCAAACTGTAAGAATAGAGAGATCTTTTGAGGGGAACGAGCAAATTGGAAGGAATCGGCACATTTGCCACAATGTGTTTGTAGATCAAAGCCTGATGCTCAAGTTCCATCCATTGGGAAGGAGTAAATGGTCCTTTCAGCTTCGCAAAAGGCCCGCGGCCCCCCCCAATCAGCCCGAATTCTGAGAATTAATTTACATGGGGAAATCAAAGATAGAAATTGAAGTTTTCTCTCTT